CATTTTGGAGAAAAAAAAAAAAAAAAAGTTAAATCAACAATTGCCACAAAATCTTCAGCTATTCCACCTTTTGTGTCTTGCTAGTGTATTCTTCAGGCTCTTTCCAAAGTAATTCATCAAATGATATGTAACTATAAGAAGCAATTGGCTGATGTTAGATAGCTATGCTGACACCTCTTTAATTTCAAAGGAAGCGGTGAGATAGAAATTGGCCAACAGCAACTCTATCTTTTGAGGGTTGACTGATAGCCCTGCTTGAAAACTTTTTTTTTTTTTTTTAATTAGTTATCTTGTTTCTAGTTAGACAAAGTGGGCAAACCATCTTGTGGTTTCATGGATATACTACCTGGACAAGATTGAGAGCATCTGGAGATGTTCAGCCTGAAGAAGAGAAGGCTCCAGGGTGACCACACTGCAGCCTTTCAGTACTTCAAGGAGGCTTATAAAAAAGATGGAGAGCGACTTTTTGCTCAGGCAGATAATGACAGGACAAGGAGGAATTGTTTTGAACTAAAAGAGGGGAGATTTAGATTAGACGTTAGGAGGAAATACTTCTCTCAGAAGGTGGTAAGGCACTGGAACAGGTTGCCCAGAGAAGTTGTGGGTGCTGCATCCTTGGAAATGCTGAAGACCAGGCTGGATGAGGCCCCGGGCAATCTGATCTAGTGGGTGGCATCCCCGCCCATTGCAGAGGGGTTGGAACTAGATGATTTTTAAGGTCCCTTCCAATGCAAGCTGTTCGATGATTCAATCAATGGCCTGGAATGATCCAGGAGCTATTTCTCTTTTGCTTTGCATCAACCTAAAGCTGAATGTTGGAAATCTGAATAATTTCACAGAGAGTTCATTTTAATGAAAATGGTAAAGGCTGTATAGATCTCTTTAACTAGATAACGGCAAACTTTCTGCCTCTGCCTATCATTTTCTTATGTAAAGATAATACTGATCTATCTGGGAATTTTAAAACTCTATGAATAATAAAATCCTTTTATTATGGGGAAGAATCAGTCCCAGACACTGAGCAGTATGCAATAGTAACTCTTTCCTATTGAGATGCAAAAGTGTTTGTTTGTTTGTTTTTTTAATGTAAAAATGTATTATGATTTAGAACAGCACACTAAATCAGTTTTTAAATAAAATCCCACATCCATAGCTGAAAAGTGAACCACAAATTATCCTAAGCCTGACAGATTTCCATTGTGATGAGTGACTTTGTGACTTCATTTATTTTCTGGGTATATCTGGACTACCCAAAAGTCAGAATTAATCTAAATAAATCACATATAACAAGTGTTAATGAAATTCAGCATCAGTGTAGATATTAGCTCCAAATTCACTTGATCTCCTTCTGTTGTTGCTATACTTTTGCAAGTAATGCCATTCTGTCTTTTGTAGACAAAAGCCACTCTAGAATGCTACCACATCTCTTGGCAGTTTCTCACACTGGCTACACCTGAGTCACAGTAAATCAGCACCACTAACAATATCTTTAAACTGTCCCCTCTATTGCCCCAATCCACAAGAATGTCTGTGTGACATAATATTATTGAAAGAAGTGAAGAAAGTCAGATGACTGCATTTTCATAATATCAAATGATTTACTAAGGTCTCCTATTCTTTCCCACATTGTACTGCATGTTTCTAAACAAGTAACTCCTCTATCCAGCCCATCCTAAAAAATTCATTTTATACATATTCAGTTTATCCCACATCACAGACTCCTGGCTTGGAAAAAGAAACCACACCCGCTACCACCCCACCCCCGCCACCCTGTTTTTTCTCATCTGCCAGTTCAAAACATGAGCTCCTTTTCATGTATGTGTGTGTGCATGTTTTGCCACTCTCTGACCTTGTAACAAGGGAAGGGAAATTCGTGATAATAGGAATGAAAAATGTTCTGCCTCAGCAACCTGAGCAAGTCAAGAGAAGAATTTTCCAAAAGCTGCTATGGCCTCATTTCTTTGTTTAAGCAGTTTCCTCAATGACCTACAAAAAAAAAAAAAAAAAAAAGCGAAAAAAAAAAAAGCATGCTGGCAGCAGGACCAGTGCTGAGAGCAGGAAAATCTGTGCTGTGGTTGTATGTTATTCCATCTTGTGTGAAGCCTCAGAGCAAGACAAAAGCCTGCTGCTGCATCCTGTCTTCTCACCTTAGTTGTGTTTATGATCTCTTCTGCAACAGCAGTTAATAACTGGAAAGCAAAGTCGTGGTTATTTTCTGTTTTCATGAGGGTTCATCCAGTAGCCTCTGAACAGATTCTGTCTGGATGGGTCCTATTTGGATCCTGCTTCTACAAGTCTCATGAACTATGGCACTGGCCATCTTGATCCTTGCTTTAATGTTTATGTGCAGATAAAAAAAAAGTAATATATGCTGTAAGATGGAAGATTTGTGGCTATGCTTTACATATTTGCTGTGTTTCATGTATTTGTGGACAAATGAAATACAGGATTATAATAATAACTTGTACATTAAAATTAGTATGATATAGAAGACATGCCAACAGAAACATATCTCTCATTATAACCTGGACATTATTAAGACTCATAACACTAATTATGACTTTAGAGTTCCACACATGATCTTCTAGAGTAAAGAAGTGTGCTAAGGAGAGGAGACAGCAGGTACATGCATATGAATTGAGAAATGTATTGGTTGTATTTACAAAACTTAGCAAATACTGTACCATATTGAAATTCAATTTAGAAAGATGCACTTATATGCAAAATAAAATTCTCACAGGTTATTTAACAGCATTCTTGACCTGAAATTTAATGAAAAAAAAAAAGGCAAAAAAAAAAAAGACATTTTCATGAGAAATAGTGAACTATTGTTGTATTGTAGAATTTCCTCTTAATGGTTTCCTTTAATCCCCTGCTCTAATTTACCGCAATAGTACTCAGGAGATAATTGATTAAGCCAGTGGATTTAAATCATAATTAAAGAACTTCCTGCAGTCTAACCTGGTTACATTTTATTATTTGTTTTTCACAGGGAAAACATGCACATCACACTTTGATTATTTTTTGCTCAAGTGCTCTATTTGTCTGACAAAGTGCCCTGCAGTACAGTACAAAGATAAGCACAAAAATAAATATTTGGTCTTAAAATCTGAAAATATGAACAAATGTGCCTATCTTACTTAATGAAAAGAACTCTTTTGGAGAAAGAAACAGAAATATAATTAAGCAAAAGGTTAATACAAGAATGCAGAAAAATAAAGGAAACAGAGGAAAAAGTTCTCTATCTTCTTATAAGATGTTGAAAACACCAGCTAATTGAAAAGACATGGTTTTAATGTAAACATTTCTGGTGAAAGACATCTTTCTTTTACTTTTTATAAGTCCTGTGTAAAGCTATATAGGGCAGTATGCCCGAAGGTTTCATTATTTTTAAGAGATGAAGCCGTATTACGGGAAATAACTCATAACCCAGTTTCAGAGCTCAGAGGCTACTTTGTGTTACTTGCTTCTTTTCAAAGCTAATTTAAGCGATGAAAATGACTTGGGAATACCTCCATTTTAGACTACCCTGATGAAAAACCGTCTCAAGAACACGAATTCGCTGCCAGTGTGGCAGTGCTGTCAGAAGCAGAGTTGTAATTCAGAAGTAAAAATAAAAATCTTACTGTCCGGCTCTGCGTGCAAACCCCAAACTCAAGGATTCCAGCCTCGCACGAAAACCATTTTAACCCTGAGGAGAAAGAAAAACCACAGGACAAAACTACATTCTGTCCCCAGCACCGCTGTGAAGAAACGGGGTGCCGCGGTGACGAATTTTTACGAAAAACACACTTTTTCGAGGAGGAAGAAACACAAGCGGAGAGGCAGCGCGCCGGGCGGCGGGGCGGGGCGGGCTCTGCAGCCGCACCAATCAGCGCCCGCTGCGCTCCCATAAATAAGGGCCCCGCCGCCCGCCGGCAGCCGCTGCGCCCCGCTCTGCGCCGCGCCGACATGTCCGAGACCGCGCCCGCTCCCGCTGCCGAGGCGGCGCCCGCCGCCGCCCCGGCCCCCGCCGCCAAGGCCGCCGGCAAGAAGCCGAAGAAGGCGGCGGGCGGCTCCAAGGCGCGCAAGCCCGCGGGCCCCAGCGTCACCGAGCTGATCACCAAGGCCGTGGCCGCCTCCAAGGAGCGCAAGGGGCTCTCCCTCGCCGCGCTCAAGAAGGCGCTGGCCGCCGGCGGCTACGACGTGGAGAAGAACAACAGCCGCATCAAGCTGGGGCTCAAGAGCCTCGTCGGCAAGGGCACCCTGGTGCAGACCAAGGGCACCGGCGCCTCCGGCTCCTTCCGCCTCAGCAAGAAGCCCGGCGAGGTGAAGGAGAAGGCGCCCAAGAAGCGGGCGGCCGCGGCCAAGCCCAAGAAGCCGGCGGCCAAGAAGCCCGCCAGCGCCGCCAAGAAGCCCAAGAAGGCGGCTGTGAAGAAGAGCCCCAAGAAAGCCAAGAAGCCGGCGGCCACTGCCACCAAGAAAGCAGCCAAGAGCCCCAAGAAGGCAACCAAGGCTGCCAAGCCCAAAAAGGCAGTGGCAGCAAAGAGCCCGGCCAAGGCAAAGGCAGTTAAGCCCAAAGCTGCCAAACCCAAGGCTGCCAAGCCGAAAGCAGCCAAGGCAAAGAAGGCGGCACCCAAGAAGAAGTAAGCCCCCATGGAAGAAAACTCTTCATCCGCACTTAAACCCAACGGCTCTTTTAAGAGCCACCCACACATTCTCTAAAGGAGCTGAAATACTTTGCTCAACATTAACATAATAAAATATGGTAAAATCTGGTAAATAACTTACATTAAGACAACTCACACTAATGCGCATGGTTTTTCCATGAAGATACAAATATGAGCATTTCTTGATGCTACTTCAATTATCACTGCAAGAATGGGGAAAGCTTTTTTTTTTTTTTACAGAGGACTCCATTCCTATATCTTGTTCTACAATAGTATAGCAGCCATTACTGCTTTCCCTTGCTCATTGACATATGCAAGTACTAGAGAAAGAAATGAGAGCAGAAGATGAAATAATGTTCATGTGTCACCAATTTTTTTTAGCTCTGATGAAATTACATGTGTGGTAACAGGAAAACAGAAAAGCAATTCCATTGAAGTAAAAATTGTTATTTCTTTAAGTAGTAACAAACACACAAAATAATCCAGCTCTTTTATGATTTCGTGGGTGGCTCTTAAAAGAGCCTTTGGGTTTCGATGGGAAGAGCTTCCCAGGCACGGTTCTCAGTGTTCACTTGGCCTTGGCCTTGTGGCTGTCGGTCTTCTTGGGCAGCAGCACGGCCTGGATGTTGGGCAGCACCCCGCCCTGCGCGATGGTGACCTTGCCCAGCAGCTTGTTGAGCTCCTCGTCGTTGCGGATGGCCAGCTGCAGGTGGCGGGGGATGATGCGCGTCTTCTTGTTGTCGCGGGCCGCGTTGCCCGCCAGCTCCAGGATCTCGGCCGTCAGGTACTCCAGCACGGCCGCCAGGTACACCGGGGCGCCGGCGCCCACCCGCTCCGCGTAGTTGCCCTTGCGCAGCAGCCGGTGCACGCGGCCCACGGGGAACTGCAGCCCGGCCCGCGACGAGCGCGACTTGGCCTTGGCCCGCGCCTTCCCGCCCTGCTTCCCGCGCCCAGACATCGCAGCGACTCCAGCAAACACCGCACGCAGCGACCTGCCCGGGGCCGCCCCCACCGCCTTATATTCGGCTCGGGCGGACCGCGGGCGGCAGCGCTGATTGGCTGCGAGGGCGGCAGAACGCCAGCAGCCAATGGCAGCGCGGATCCAAAGGCGCCCAATGCCGAAGTCTGGCGTTCGGTGACGACACAAAGCCAAACTTCCAGCCAATGGCGGCGCGGAGCGGTGGAGCCGCTGCTCTGCATCGCGCCCCTATAAGAGCGGCTGCGACGGGCGGGTGCGGCACTGCGCTGCTGCGAGCAGAAACGGTAAGCGGTGCTGTTTGCTGTGAGACGGTGATCGCCATGCCTGAGCCGGCCAAGTCTGCGCCCGCGCCCAAGAAGGGCTCCAAGAAAGCCGTCACCAAGACGCAGAAGAAGGGCGACAAGAAAAGGCGCAAGAGCCGCAAGGAGAGCTACTCGATCTACGTGTACAAGGTGCTGAAGCAGGTGCACCCCGACACGGGCATCTCGTCCAAGGCCATGGGCATCATGAACTCCTTCGTCAACGACATCTTCGAGCGCATCGCCGGCGAGGCGTCGCGCCTGGCGCACTACAACAAGCGCTCGACCATCACGTCGCGGGAGATCCAGACGGCCGTGCGGCTGCTGCTGCCCGGCGAGCTGGCCAAGCACGCCGTGTCCGAGGGCACCAAGGCAGTCACCAAGTACACCAGCTCCAAGTAGAGCACCGCGGATCCTGTTTTTAACCCAAAGGCTCTTTTAAGAGCCACCCACGTTTTCAATAAAAAGAGCTGAGGTAGTAGGCAATGGCTTGGTAATATCTTTTTTTTTTCAGACAATACCAATTTGTAGTAACGCATAAGTTGAAAATATAGTAGTGCATGTTTCACACATGGAATTTATAAACAAGACCACTTCTCGTGACTCGTTAGAGATGGTCAGATAACTACGGTTCGTTGATGTTCCCAGGGGTACCATAACTGCAGGTGTTTTGGAGAGGGAGTATTGATTTCCTTCATGGAATCTTTATGAGGACTAATACCTCGTGAAGCACAAAGGGTTTAATCTTCCCCTGTGTTCACAGCAGACAAAAGGCTCGCGGGGCGGACAGCCTCACCGTTAGCGTTGTTGGGGGCGAGCTGGAAAGCAACCCGTTCGATTTTAGCGGTCTGATGCTCCCGTGCCGCACTGCATCGCAAGTACCCCCCCCAAGCACGCTGTACCCTGCGGTCTGCTCCTGCGCTCCCGGTCGTTTCTCTGCGCTCCCCCGCAGTGGAAATCACCGCTCTGAGGCACCCGGGGCAGTGGAGGGGGCGGGCGGGCGGCGCTAGGGAGCCCCGCCGCAGTCCGACCTGAGTGAGAACTGCGCGGAGCCTCCCGGCAGGCGGCCCCGACACGGCTCTGGGAGGGGGCGGGCCCTGGCGGCGTTGGGCGGCTCGGAGCGCGGCCCCGTTTGCCCTCGGGGAGCTGGGCCTTAAGGCGGGGGGGAGGGGGCGCGCGGCTGTGCGGGGGCTGCAGCCAGGAAGCGTTCCCGGTGGCGGAACTGCGCCTAGTTCCGCGAACTACACCTGGGAGGGTCTTGTTATGGCCCTGAACGGGCAGCGGTCGGTGAAAGAGCAGGAACAGCGATCTCACGGGCGGCGGTGCCGTGCTGCTCTCGTCCCCAGTATCCGCGTCTGCCGGCAGCGCCAGCCTCCACGCCCGCCACGCCGCTACTCGTGGGGGAGGCTCCCGCATTGCTCCTTGGGCAGCACGGCAGCCGGTGCCTAAAAGCTGCGGAGGACCGGCCCGCCCACGGAAAGGAGCGGAGCGCTCAAGCACGGGGCTGGCCGCGGAGGGCGGGGTCAGGCGCTGCCGGCTCCGGCTGCCGGGGGGCGGGGCAGGCGGGCGGGCTTCCCGGCCCCGAAGCGCGGGCTTTTCGAGCGCTCGCCTCGGCCAATGGCAGGCGGCCTCCCGCGGGCGGCCAATGGGCGGGGGCCCTCGGCTATAAATGCCGCCGCCGCCGCGCTCTCGCCACTGCTCGGTGCCGGGGGCTGAGAGAGGGTGGAGGTGACTGTTAGGCGATGGCGCGCACGAAGCAGACGGCGCGTAAGTCGACGGGCGGGAAGGCGCCCCGCAAGCAGCTGGCCACCAAGGCGGCCCGCAAGAGCGCGCCGGCCACGGGCGGCGTGAAGAAGCCACACCGCTACCGGCCCGGCACGGTGGCGCTGCGCGAGATCCGCCGCTACCAGAAGTCGACGGAGCTGCTGATCCGCAAGCTGCCCTTCCAGCGGCTGGTGCGCGAGATCGCGCAGGACTTCAAGACCGACCTGCGCTTCCAGAGCTCGGCCGTGATGGCGCTGCAGGAGGCGAGCGAGGCCTACCTGGTGGGGCTCTTCGAGGACACCAACCTGTGCGCCATCCACGCCAAGCGCGTCACCATCATGCCCAAGGACATCCAGCTCGCCCGCCGCATCCGCGGGGAGCGCGCCTGAGGCTCCTGACCCAGCCCTTTGCGCCTCCTCTGTTCTCAGCAGAGGAGGCTGCACTCAGACCCAAAGGCTCTTTTAAGAGCCACTCCATGCTCAAAAAAGGCTGTTATTACTTACGTTTAATGGTGATGTTATATTAAATCCTAAGTCCCTCAAAACGCATGAAAAATTAATTTCCTCACAGATCAATTATAGTATACATTATGGATACTAGGAGCCTGCATGCTAAAAGCTTTCCAAAATATGTTCTAATCAGGCATAACCTAGCTAGATTTTTGGGATTTGTAAGGGAAAAAAAAAAAGATATGATAGTTACTAATTACCATGTTAAGAGTAATTATCAGAACCATTACACTGTCAACAGCTCTTTTTGTTGTGCGTGGAGTGGCTCTTAAAAGGGACCTTTGGGTTTGGTGGTGGCATGGCAGGAGCCTCAGGCACAGTCTAATGGTTTTGCTAATTACCATGTTCATAGGGTAGATAATGACTACATGTACTAATACTACCACATCTATTTTTCCTAGAATTTACACACAGTGATCTATATGATATATCTAGTTTGTCTAATGTTGAAACGCTTTTGGTATGGAAGCATCTATCGTTTATAATATGTATTATAATTAAATAAATCGTTTCTCATGAGTTTTGAGAGACTTAGGATTTAATATAACATCACCATTAAACGTAAGTAATAACAGCCTTTTTTGAGCATGGAGTGGCTCTTAAAAGAGCCTTTGGGTCTGAGTGCAGCCTCCTCTGCTGAGAACAGAGGAGGCGCAAAGGGCTGGGTCAGGAGCCTCAGGCGCGCTCCCCGCGGATGCGGCGGGCGAGCTGGATGTCCTTGGGCATGATGGTGACGCGCTTGGCGTGGATGGCGCACAGGTTGGTGTCCTCGAAGAGCCCCACCAGGTAGGCCTCGCTCGCCTCCTGCAGCGCCATCACGGCCGAGCTCTGGAAGCGCAGGTCGGTCTTGAAGTCCTGCGCGATCTCGCGCACCAGCCGCTGGAAGGGCAGCTTGCGGATCAGCAGCTCCGTCGACTTCTGGTAGCGGCGGATCTCGCGCAGCGCCACCGTGCCGGGCCGGTAGCGGTGCGGCTTCTTCACGCCGCCCGTGGCCGGCGCGCTCTTGCGGGCCGCCTTGGTGGCCAGCTGCTTGCGGGGCGCCTTCCCGCCCGTCGACTTACGCGCCGTCTGCTTCGTGCGCGCCATCGCCTAGCAGTCACCTCCACCCTCTCTCAGCCCCCGCCACCGAGCAGTGGCGAGAGCGCGGCGGCGGCGGCATTTATAGCCGAGGGCCCCCGCCCATTGGCCGCCCGCGGGAGGCCGCCTGCCATTGGCCGAGGCGGGCGCTCGAAAAGCCCGCGCTTCGGGGCCGGGAAGCCCGCCCGCCTGCCCCGCCCCTCGGCAGCCGGAGCCGGCAGCGCCTGACCCCGTCCGCCGCGGCCAGCCCCGTGCTTGAGCGCTCCCCTCCTTTCCGCGGGCGGGCCGGTCCTCCGCAGCTTTTAGGCACCGGCTGCCGTGCTGCCCAAGGAGCAATGCGGGAGCCTCCCCCACGAGTAGCGGCGTGGCGGGCGTGGAGGCTGGCGCTGCCGGCAGACGCGGCCTCCGTTTCTCTCTCGAGGTCGCTGTTTCTACTCTTTCATCGACCTCTGCCGATTTAGGGCCATAACACAGCCCTCCTAGGCTTAGCCCGCGGCGGCCGTTCTGGCACCGCGAACGCCTCCTAGCTGCTGCGCCCCCCGCCTTAAGGCCCAGCTCCCCGCGGGGAAACGGGGCCGCGCTCCGAGCCGGATAACGCCGCCAGGCCCCGCCCCCTCCCAGAGCCGTGTCGGGGCCGCCTGCCGGGAGGCTCCGCTCAGTTCTCACTCAGGTCGGACTGCGGCGGGGCTCGCCAGTGCCGCCCGCCCGCCCGCCCCCTCCGCTGCCCCGGGCTCTTCAGTGCGGTGGAGCTCCCCCATTGCGGGGGAGCGCAGAGTAATGGCAGGGAGCGCAGGAGCAGACCGCAGGGTACACCGTCCTCGGGGGGCAACAGCGCAGTGAAGCAGCCCAAATTGCTTTCCTGTTCGCCTAGGTCTACGCAAACGCCGAAGTCGTCCACAGATTAGCCTCTTGCCTGCTGTAAGCAAGATTAAACGCTCCTCTTTAGCCGTCTTGCCCCTTATGTGAACGTCTGGTAGGAGGGGATGAGAAGGGAGGAGGGGGGCAGGAAGCAAGTGTCTCCTCTCCAGAACACTTAGTGCAGGCACCAATAGGAACACCGATGATCCTTCGTTATTGTCTGTCTCAAACTAAACACAAGAAACAAGTGGACTTCCGTGCACATTTAGGAGTGCGTTAAAGGTACTATGGTATGTTTGCAACTTATACCTATCTGCAACTAGGCAATGTCTAAAGAAAAAAAATATATATATATTTGCAAGCCACCACTGCTGCCTCAGCTCTTTTATTGAAAAGGTGGGTGGCTCTTAAAAGAGCCTTTGGGTTAAAAACAGGATCCGCGGCGCTCTACTTGGAACTGGTGTACTTGGTGACCGCCTTGGTGCCCTCGGACACGGCGTGCTTGGCCAGCTCGCCAGGCAGCAGCAGCCGCACGGCCGTCTGGATCTCCCGCGACGTGATGGTCGAGCGCTTGTTGTAGTGCGCCAGGCGCGACGCCTCGCCGGCGATGCGCTCGAAGATGTCGTTGACGAAGGAGTTCATGATGCCCATGGCCTTGGACGAGATGCCCGTGTCGGGGTGCACCTGCTTCAGCACCTTGTACACGTAGATCGAGTAGCTCTCCTTGCGGCTCTTGCGCCTTTTCTTGTCGCCCTTCTTCTGCGTCTTGGTGACGGCTTTCTTGGAGCCCTTCTTGGGCGCGGGAGCGGACTTGGCCGGCTCAGGCATTGTTTGTCTGTTTCCCCACTTCTTCAGAAACTGCTGAGGTGTTTCCGTCTGCTACGTGCTCCCTTCTTATATAGTAACCGTATGCAAATTAGGGGTTCCTCGTTCCTCTGTTTCCATTGGCTGATTCGTATCCCTTCCCTCATAGCTCTCCGTCTGTTGTCTCCATTGGTCAGAATTCGATCCGCCTTCCCATTGGCTGCTTTCGCTGTATCTAATTCTCGGCCTATCGAATCGCGCTGCTTTTACCGGGAAGGGATATAAGGCCGAGCTGGGAGGCTGCCGGCATTTCTCCACGTCTTCCGCTGGTGATTAGTCAGTCGCTGCGATGTCCGGGCGCGGGAAGCAAGGCGGGAAGGCGCGGGCCAAGGCCAAGTCGCGCTCGTCGCGGGCCGGGCTGCAGTTCCCCGTGGGCCGCGTGCACCGGCTGCTGCGCAAGGGCAACTACGCGGAGCGGGTGGGCGCCGGCGCCCCGGTGTACCTGGCGGCCGTGCTGGAGTACCTGACGGCCGAGATCCTGGAGCTGGCGGGCAACGCGGCCCGCGACAACAAGAAGACGCGCATCATCCCCCGCCACCTGCAGCTGGCCATCCGCAACGACGAGGAGCTCAACAAGCTGCTGGGCAAGGTCACCATCGCGCAGGGCGGGGTGCTGCCCAACATCCAGGCCGTGCTGCTGCCCAAGAAGACCGACAGCCACAAGGCCAAGGCCAAGTGAACACCGAGAACTGTGCCTGGGAAGCTCTTCCCTTCGAAACCCAAAGGCTCTTTTCAGAGCCACCAACAGGTCCAGAAAAAGAGCTGCAATCTCATTGTTTACAGTCAGTAAAAGCAACAGTTGTTCCACAAAGTTTTAATCGGAGCTGGAGCGCTGAGCCCCAGCAGTGTAGGGCGCAGCCCTTCCCGGCCCCGCCGCCTTTCCCCACGCCCCGTCCGGGGGCGGAGCCGCGCGGCGCTCGCAGCGCTACGGGCGCAGCTCGGCAGCCCCGGGCCGCCGCCAATCCCGGCGCTGTGCGGGTGGTTCAAAGCACCGCTGCGGAGCTTTAACTCCCTCGCCGCTCCGTTTCTAAGCGGCAGGGGGATTTCAGGTCCGTAGAGCGACTGATCCGAGCCTGCTCTGCCTGTCCCCGAACTAAAACGTACGTTGTCCTCAGTATCTGCGTTATCCTTCTCTGTACATATCGTTCCCGTGGTCTGTAAGAAATCGATCTCAGTGTTTCAGCTCTTTTTAGGAAAGGTTGGGTGGCTCTTAAAAGAGCCGTTGGGTTTAAGTGTGGAAGGTTTTCTTCCACGGGGGCTTATTTCTTCTTGGGTGCCTTCTTCGCCTTGGCTGCTTTCGGCTTGGCTGCCTTGGGCTTGGCAGCTTTGGGCTTAACTGCCTTTGCCTTAGCCGGGCTCTTTGCTGCCACTGCCTTTTTGGGCTTGGCAGCCTTGGTCGCCTTCTTGGGGCTCTTGGCCGCTTTCTTGGTGGCAGCGGCCGCCGGCTTCTTGGCTTTCTTGGGGCTCTTCTTCACCGCTGCCTTCTTGGGCTTCTTGGCGGCGCTGGCGGGCTTCTTGGCCGCCGGCTTCTTGGGTTTTGCTGCGGCCGCCCGCTTCTTGGGTGCCTTCTCCTTCACTTCACCAGGCTTCTTGCTGAGGCGGAACGACCCCGACGCACCGATGCCCTTGGTCTGCACCAGGGTGCCCTTGCCGACGAGGCTCTTGAGCCCCAGCTTGATGCGGCTGTTGTTCTTCTCCACGTCGTAGCCGCCGGCGGCCAGCGCCTTCTTGAGCGCGGCGAGGGAGAGCCCCTTGCGCTCCTTGGATGCGGCCACGGCCTTGGTGATCAGCTTGGTGACGCTGGGGCCCGCGGGCTTGCGCGCCTTGGAGCCGCCCGCCGCCTTCTTCGGCTTCTTGCCGGCGGCCTTGGCGGCGGGGGCCGGGGCGGCGGCGGCTGCGGGCGCTGCGGCGGGCGCGGTCTCGGCCATGTCGCGACGGGCGCGGATCGCGGTGCTGGCGGCGGCGGCGGCGCCCCCTTTATAGCAGCGCAGCGGGCGCTGATTGGTGCGGCCGCCCCGCCCCGCCCCGCCGCCGCCCGGCGCTCGGCGGCTCGGCTTGTGTTTCTTGGGCGAGAATAAAGCGGTTTTTCAATATTTTATCCCTCGCCAAGTCGCCCCTTTTCTGCCCCTGGGGGGTCGTGGGGGTGTCTGCTTTCGTCCGTCGGGGTCTCGTTCCGGGAAGAGTTGAGTTTGGGGAGAGAGGGGAGCAGAAATCCCGCGTCCTGGAACCGAGCGGTCCTCGAGAGAGCGAAAGTTTTGTTTTTCTTTGTAATTTAGGAATTATCCTTTAATGATAACGGGAGACAAGACACTCAGTGCTAAACTTCAGAGGGTCTTCTTCCCATCAGAGAAGAAAGCTAGCGTTTAGAAGCTACCTGCTTGAAATGAAAAGCTTTCAAAGAGAGTGAGGTAGCACAAGCTCCCAGAAGCCGTGCCGCAGCCTTTCTCACCGAGCGTTGTACCTCCGGCTCCTGAGAAACACTGAATTAGTGATTTTTTCCCCCGTATTTCCCGAGCTACGATTTCCAGAGCGTCCCTGTGAAGCAGTAGGTAGTGTACGCTTTATTCACCTCGCAACGGGCAACTTTCTCTGCAACTCTTTGCTGTTGTTAGCGCAGCACAGGGCTCTTTAATGTTAATGTCATGAACAGGAACGCGAAGACCAAATATGAAAACGTTTGTGTCGAATCACTGAGCTTCATGTAGGTCTCTGGCATACAGAAACAAGCCACACGCTAAATAAAGCACATAGTGCTATTTCTGTGAAACATGTTGGTATGATTCAGTAACATGCACATAACTGACAAGAGATCACATCTGCGGGAGACATAAAACACCATTCTGTGCACATTTTGATGCCAAACTAAGAAGAAAAATCACAGTCTTTGCTCACTGCTCATTCTGCAGATTACAAATAAAGTCACAGCAATTTCTGTACACAAAATCTTTAACTGCAGTATACAGGGACCCAAAGCTGTTTGTCCATGCTGTGGTGACAAATGGTGACCCTATTAGCATGCATGCCTCCTTATCAGCAAAAGCTTTGTATATATTTTTGTGAACCTAACAGGATTTACAACTGTATTTATCTCAAAGGTTGTCCGTTAATAGCCATTACCTTGTTTAGCACCTTGTCATTATATTGCTGTCTTTATGCCTAATGTATAAAAATTGTTCTTGTATAGTTTGTACATGGTGCTGACCAGAAATTCAACTTCATTGTTTCAACAAATTGATCACCCCTCTCATTCCTCTACAGGACAGGCAAACTAACCTCTCAGATCTTCTGGGTGACCCGTCATCTTCAGTTAATTCATAAAGTCCCATTCTCAAAAAAAAAAAAAAAAAGAAAAAAAAAAGTTGTTTGCATATTTTGACCTTTTCTCCAATCCTTCTGGTAAAAATGATTTCAGGCAAATAAAAATATTCATCTCTCCCACTTATGCTTTCTACCTAACTCTTCCTCATCATTGGGGTTTCCTACTTGAGGAGTTATTCCACAGGAAAGGAGGGTATTAGATGGAAAATCCATCACATCTGGATGTGGGCTATCCAATAGTGTTGGAAGCAGGATGGCTTATATAGTTATATTCTCTAGGAATTTTACAAGGGCAAGAGTACTTTTCGGTAAGCCAGATTTACTGCACATAGCAATAGGGGGAACAGAGAACTGACTAGTGAAATAAGTGTCGTCTCCTAATTTTTCTGATATCATGTGTATGATTACTTCTCTTCCATCCCATCTAGGTCTGGTAAAACCCTTAGTGTTCCCTAAAAACTATTTTTGTTGCAGTGGCTGAATCTCTCAATACTCACTAACTCTTTTCACATCTCTGGTGCCAAGACTGGGGGTTGGGATGGAAACCTTTCTACCTCACAATAAAACAATTTCCCCCATTCTCTGCAAGATTTTTCTCCAGTCTGTAATTTGATATTCTCAAGACTGTTTTCCTCTGAGTATTAAAAATCTTGCACACGTGTAGTCAAATGGAACACAGCTGTCTTTCTAAATCTTATATAGCAGTGATAAACTACAGCACCAACCATCTTCAGGGGAAAAGCCTCTCAATATGTGCCAGAGCAATGCTGCAGCACCTTGATGTAGCCCTCACTCCAGTTTTAAAGTTATTGATCTCCACCAAATGTTAAATGACAATTTTAAAAATTGAAGCCATTTTTATAATTATTTTAACTGCTTCTGATTATTTGATTTTCCATTTATCTGTTTACTCCACTGTTCCCTTCCATTCTTGTTTAGAAGACAGTATATTCTCATGACCATCTCAGAAACAAGCAGCAAAGCAGTGCATATGAGGGTGGAGGGTGCATAAGTACCAGAGAAAAATCAAGGCATACAGGGAGGGCTGAATACATGTATAGTGTCACTTCATTCATCAGTGAATGAGAAACCACAGGGACAGTGGTTTGCCCTCCTCCCTCAAATACAGCTATTCCTTGTGTGCAGCACAAAGAAAAACCCACACGAAATTATGCACCAAGGTTATTACTCTAGTCATGATCAGGCCTAATTAGGATACACAGAAGTAGTACACATTTCCCTGCAATGCAGACACACAAGAACAGCAGATAGGGAGGATACTTGTATGAGAGATTCTCCCTCCCTCACTGTCACCGTTCTTATCCATTTACCATTGCAATTACAGCAAGCTTTGCTGCCTCACATTAGAAGAGGCAACCATCAAGAAATTACAGGACCTCAGAGCTGTTGGCATGGAGAAAGATATCTGGTAAGGTAATCTGCCAACAAATCACCCAGAATGTTGCTGCTAGTGCTATCAACGTGAGCCAGCTTAAACTGCAAAACCAGACCTGAAAGCCTTTACAGAGCACAGCCAGTGTGAAGAATATGGGTTGTTGTAACCAAGAACATATGAGTACTAACTCTCAAAAAATACAGTAATTCAAACCACTTAAACCACTTAAAGCCTCCAAGACAATAAGAAGTCATTGCAATATTAGGGTAATTTTCAATTTATTGCATGTCCCTTTTATGGTCACCTTGCTCTAGGTAATGAAGCATAGAGGCCACCATCAATGTCATTACTGGCCCTAGGGAGATCACCTTACAGTAACCTAGCATTTATCTGTCTACACATACTCATGATAATTCTTCCTGACTTCTTTTTGCTCCTCTTCCTGCCCTTCCTTATGACTTTTCCACGTGCCATTAGTGTTTAAGCACACTGTGTTTGTTCTTTTTGTGTTTCCATATCTTTCCAAAACAAGTAAAGGCCACCCCCAGTTTAGAGGTGGGAGAACTGGAAGTCACTTTTCCACATTTCTTAAAAATTGAATCATATTCGTATCCTCCAACTTTTGTCAGGTTCAGATTTTCTGCCCTCCTGCTGTTAAGATGTTAACTCTCCACATTTCCTGTCAGGAGAAAGCAGTTCAGGGATGTTCATTTAATTTAATAGAGGAAAAGAAGAAGAAAAAGAGGAAAAGAAAGAGAAAGGGAAAGGGAAAGGGAAAGGGAAAGGGAAAGGGAAAGGGAAAGGGAAAGAGAAAGAGAAAGAGAAAGAGAAAAAGAAAAAAGAAAAAGAAAAAGGAAAAGGAAAAGGAAAAGGAAAAGGAAAAGGAAAAGAAAAAGAAAAAGAAGAAGAAGAAGAAGAAGAAAAAGAAAAAGAAAAAAGAAAGAGAAAGGGAAAAAGAGGAAAAAGAAGAAAAAGAAGAAAAAGAAGAAAAAGAAGAAAAAGTCAAAATGCAATTAATTTGTTTGTTTATTTTCACTTCCAATTTGTCACAAACCTCAGCTCCCTCCCGCACGCACAGAGGCCGAGTGGGGATGTCAGCCTGCAGGTGCAGTTGGCCCCATGGGGAAACACCTTGAGGGGATGTGGGCTAGCAGCAGCCAGCTTCAGTTGCCAGCCAGCCTGTCCTTCTAGATAACAGCATTTCCATCTGCTCCAGCAAAACACAAGCCATTAAAGGGACCAGTAGCAAGAGCCATTTTTTCCACCTTTTAGCTGCTGTCTGCAGAAAAGGCTGCTGCAGGGCTGTGGGTTGGGTGAGCACACCAAGTCCCTGATAACCACAGGTGAGAACCCGTGGGCACTCAGCCCACTCAGAGCCACATCTCCGTGTCACGGGGCTGCCTCAGCCACCTCGGGCTGGCTTCCTCGAAGGCAGCTGGTCTCACAGCACCGGCTGGTAAATGTTCCTCGGGTCTCACACGCCCTGGGCCTCCCCTCCCAGCCTCTCCAGAGGGGAAGAGCCAGAGGCAGTGGTGGTCACCAGGTCTGCCAAGGAGAGGACAACTTCTTTCAGTTGCTAGTAGCAGCTGAGCCTGTTAGCTCAGACGGGGTCCGGCCGGCGCCTTGCTCCTGGGACAGACGCCCACTGCCCGGGGAAGGCTCCTCTCCCTGGGCTGCTGGAGGGCAGGGCCCGAGGCTGATGCTCCCTGCACTTTTCCAGGAGGCCACTGGGATGCAGGGTCTGCAAAGGAAAGGAGCAGCTCGGCGCCGACGTCCAGCCGCTGAAGCGCTTTTGGCTGCTGGCATCACGGCTCCTGCACAGCCACGGGAGCTGCGTGGGGCTGGGCAAGCGGGCATCAGAGAAGAGCTGGAGGAGGAGGGATACTTCTAGTGTTTTTTTTTTGCCATCTTCCTTTTGAGCATGTGGAGGGTGTGTTACGTACAGTGCTCAGTTCTGGGACCCTGAAGGCATCCATGACTCTTGTTCCTTTTACCTGTGCAAGCAACATTCTTTCCTTCTTTATTGCTGGCATGTATTCAAATGAGAAATTCCTACGACAGATGTCCTATTCAGACAAAAATGAAATTTTATCCCAGAGGACACAGGAATTTTGCCCCTTTCTTTACACAGGAAATGCTCCTTTTGGCCTACTGATGCCGTTTCTTTCCCAGTAAATGTAAAAAAAAGAATACCGTGGCCTTGAAGGCTGAATCAGTATTCCTCACATCCGGCTGCCTAGAATCAGAAGCATGAAGTACATGCAGAAATGGAAAGTCTCACCCTCCAATCTTGAAGGGGCCCAGAACAACAGAATTTAAAATCACAGCCTGACCAGTGCTACAAAAGCTATGTTGGGTCGCAGGGTAGCCTCAGCAAGCAAATACTCACCTGAAATTGAGGCCACCTACA